GCTCACGAGCGTTGGCACAATCTTTACCGGACACCCTGTATAATTGTTGGTCGCATTATGACAACTTTAAATTCGCTTCCTCATCTCTATCAGGGATAATCGTACGATGTCGCGCGTGCCTGGTAACGCGATTTTCATTGAAAAGATCTGTTTGTGCGATAGACGAGAAAATTACTTGCAAGCGTACAATTAATTACGGCGTGTTGTATGATAATTGGCGATGACATGACAGTACACTTAAATGCGCATGCTGATGTGCGGCGACTAGCGCGACGTTAACCTCACTCGTATTTTCCATATCCGCACAATCGATAGGCAAAATAAATATTCTAACGGACATTCGTTCTCGCCAGATTATAAAACAGAATCAACGAGTGGTGCTCATAATATTGTCGCAAGGCGTGCACGTGTGTGGGACGAGCGTAGCCACTGCTCTTTAATCCGTCCAGCAGTGCCGAAGAGATCAATGAAAATTATAACGGTATTTACATATGTGGGGGGGAACATGCGAAAAAAAAAAAACAGATTCTATCACGACGTAAAATTTAAGCATTTTGATTCGTAAAATAAAACATGAATTATGATACCATCGAGTTTCATAAAAAAATAATAATTTTATTGTACGATGTATTAATTTATTATGTGTTTCTATTCCTTTCATTTTTTAATCCTCTATATTATTAAAAAAGTATCATATTATAGTATATTTTTATATACATAAATTTCTTTTAAATAAAATATATATTAAAGCAATAATAAAGTTTTTTGATAGCAATAAGAAATAAAAAAATTTTTTGTTAGTTTGCTTAAAATAAAAATTATTAATTATTTAAGAAAATATATATCAAGATATTATTTTATATATGTATAATATATAATTATTATCAATTACATAAAAGTAATTATATTATGGTATGTAAAGTGTATGTTACTTCAAATTTTGAAAGTATTGTTGAGAATTTCTCAATAATTGTTTTGAGAACTTCTCAACAATTACCCTTGTTGAGAAGTTGATATCATCAAGTAGTGGTAATCTACTTTGATCTAGATTGGCTTCTTTATGGTTCGATCTAAACGCGGATCCTGACCTCCGCTAACAGGGTACCGGTGACCTGACCAGCCGAACGGGATTAGATGATCATACACCAATACAAGAACATAGGCTACTCACATTTCGCTTCGATAGAATATTATGTATTATATTTTTATTATTTATTATAT